CGGATGCCACCGCCGCCGCCGCCACCACCCAGCCGAAGCAGAGGAAGCAGAGGGCGCCGCCATCCATGCCCCCGGGCATGTCTAACGCCGACTGAAGGGCGGAACAAGGCCAACACCAAGAAGGCCCGGGACAGGGCGGCGCTCGCGGCTGCGTCGGTGGCGGAGCAGGGACCCCACCATCTGATGCATTGCCTACGCGTCTTTTCTTTTCGCCCGCCGAACTTTTCATTTGATCGCCGAACTGTGGCAAGATGATCGCCGAACTGTGGCGCTGGTCGCCGGACTTGTGGCGTTTTTTGAAAACGGGAATGAACCAAGTTTAAATTTACAACACCTAAGAGACGGCACCTTTGGGCGTGGCTGGAACCTAAATCACCGTGAAGCATAAAAATCGCTGGGCGATCGCCCCAAAAAGCGTCGGCCTATGCGTGGAGGGCCGAACGAGTGGTGATGCTCTCACCTACGTACCTTTCTTGCAACCCGTCTTGTCCTTCCTCCTCCTCAGATCCCCTTCCTCCTCCTCCTCCTCCTCGATCCCCAACTCTCGCCGGTACCCTAGGCTAGATCGAGGCCCGTTACACACTAATCCTAGAAGCAAAGCAATCCCACTCCAACCCAGCCGCCGCCCCATTCCCCGCTCCGAGCCCTAGCCGCCCCGTCGAGCGGCGGCGGCCGGCGTCGCGACCGTCGAACCGACTGCCTTGAGGCACGGATCCGCGGGCCGGGCTGGAGGCGATGCCGCCAGGAGGAGAAGGGGAAGGAGAAGGAGAAGGCGAGAATGGCATCACGGTGCAGAGCCACCCACCGGCGACCGTCCGCCGCGACGAGGACGCCCCGCCCCATTCTACGCCGCCGCTCCCCGACGTTCCTCCGGTAGCTTCCAAGGTTTGCTCCACGCCTCTTCGATCTCCTTTCTTTTTTTCTAACAAGACCTTCCACCAATCTTGGATCCAAGAAAAGGAATCAGGAACCTGAACCAGCCGTTGCTATCATTTGCACAGGACAAGAAGCAGAATCTGGAGCCCGTGCCGAACCTTCCCGAGGGCGCCCTCGTCGAGATCCTTTCGCGGGTGCCCTACAGGTCGCTCTGCCGCTTCAAGTGCGTGTCCAAGCCGTGGCTCGCCCTCTGCTCCGCCCCCGACATCCGCAAGAGGTCGCCGCAGACCCTCTCCGGCTTCTTCTACTACCAAGGCGAACGCCTTTGTTTCCGCAATTTGTCTGGGAGAGGTCCGCCTCTGGTCGACCCTTCCCCGCCTTTCTTGCGCCGCAGCTACAAAAACGTTCATGTCGAACAATTCTGCGATAGTCTTCTCCTCTGCAGCTGCTGGAATTCGTGTTTACCAAGCAAACGTGATTATGTTGTGTGCAATCCTGCCACTCGAGAGTGGATTGTGCTGCCTCCTCTAGTATTTTTGGGTCAGGATCAAGAGGTCAGCCACAACTTCCCACCAAGTGTTTACTTGGGCTTCGAAGCCGCTGTTCCATCCCGCTTTCTGGTGTTTGCAACACCTTACGGGCCTCTTTGGATTGAAGGATTTTCATAGGAATATTGAAGGATTCCAATCCATTGGATTTTTTCCTAAAGAAGCCCTTTGGATCAAAGGAACCACACCTCCAAAATTCCTATGGATGCATTCCTACACCTCAATCCTATAGGAATTTCAACATCCACTATAACCTCTTTTTTACACTGATTCGCGTAGGATCGAGGCACTTTTCCTGTGTTCCATCCAAATGACCATTCTTGTAGTTTTCCTCTATTTTGTAATCCTTTGTTTTGCACCTACAATCCCGTCAAATTCCTGTGTTTTTTGAATTCCTTTGTTTTCTAATCCTGTGATCCAAAGAAGCCCTACAATGCTGACCGCCTTCCTGGACAAATGGCGATCTACTCGTCAGAAACTGGACAGTGGACTTATGTGCAGACTAAGTGGCCATCCGAATCTCTCCTGGATCTTAATAGACGCATACGTGTCTTCTTGAATGGCACTATGCATTTGAATACCCGTTATAACTATAATACAATGCTCACTGTTGACGCGGAGGGCAAAGTTTGGAGGGAGATTCCAATGCCATCGCCAAAGAAATCTGTTATTTTTTGCACTCGGCAGTCTCAAGGACGCTTGTATGCGTGGCAGATGGCTTATCGTTATGGTTGCGAACTCTATATTTGGGTTCTCGAGGATTATGGTACTGGAAAGTGGGCCCGGAAGCATACTGTCAATGTTTTGGAACTGTTTGGAAGGCATTGTCGCAAAGATGGTCAATATTATGAGATGTTTGCATTTCATCCAGATTGCAATGTGATTTTCCTTACCGACGAGAAGGAGATGACAGTGTCATACGACATGGATAGTCAGAAAGTGAGTGTTATCTGCACTAAAGGCATGAAGGGTATGCCTTATACTCCCTGTTTTGCAGAACTGCAATCAGCTAGTCATTGAATACGAGTGCAGCATCACGTGCTCAGCATGGGACAACACCTGTTGTGAAAATTAGTGGTTGCTATGGACCTACTCCTAATTTCATGGCAACAGTGTGGTATTCCTATTTGTTGGTATTCAGGTGCATGTCTTTGTTGCTTTGAACAATGTTTATTAGCCAAGAATTTGTAAGGTTAATGAGTCATTGTATGAATGAACCTAGTCATTTAATCTATTAGCTGTCATGTAGTACTAATTATCGTGGCCACTCATGAGCTGTTGATGTGGGGTAATATAAGACGCTGAGAGTACATTATTGATGTTTGGCATTGCTTGCACTTTCATTTCTTTACTAACACTTATTTATGCAAGTGAATATCTTCAATCTATAGCTTGTTATCCATAGGTGGTAGCTCTGTTTCTATGCCTTTGAAAGGGTTGAGGATATTATCTGTGGATTATCTTTTCTATACTGCAGCATATACAGGTAGGGTGAAGAAATATTAGTTTGTGTAACCCACATGGACCTCCATTGGTGGTGTTCGGAAACTTGGGCAGCTAAAATTTTGTGGGGAAGCACTTACTGATACTACTATGTTTGTTGTAAGACTGGGGTAATACGAATACAACTTCACCATCCATTGTTTTTTACTTATGCTTCCCCACTGCGTTTTTAATATGGTTCATCATTCTCCTACATGAATCCTGACTAGAATGTTAAAGTTCTAGGTTGCTTAATGTTGCTGTAGAGTCCTGCTCTCTACTAGAGAGCTGAGCATGACAATGTTCTTTTTATAATAATGACCACATCGGAATGAACATGGTGCATTGACTGTCCGAAATGAGGACCAAGAACCAGATTCTGTAAACTCTTTGTAAGAAGTAGAATCAATTTTATAGCCTCGCTTTTGATTAGCTGCCATAGGATGGGATTACAGGATGTCTGGCACCTGTCCTGGTAGATGCTATTTCCCATGCCAAGTGCTCCAAGTGTACAGTAGAACATATGTAAACTCTCAGGCGAATGACTGTCAAAAAGTAGGACCCACATAACCGAATTCTGCAAACTCTCAATATTAGAAATATTTGCTGCCTCAGTGTAAAATAAGGGGTTTCCCTATCATGGCTGTGTTGGTTGAAGGTTCAGTTCTGACTGAATCTGTGAAATTATAGCATGACAAGCACCTGTTCTGCCATTAGGATGCGATTCAGTTACTGCCTTAAGCTTACTATCTTTCCCAGCAAATTTCACTTGGTGCTCATATGTGTATACTGTGAGAACTGTCGGTTGACCTCACACATCACTTCAAATCTTTTTTGGGCAGAATCTGTGCTTACTTTTGTTAGGGGAGCTAGCAGCTGGTGTCGTTGTGTTAATCCGGAACATGACGGTGATTAATTTGATACTAGGTTATACTATGTTGCGATTTACAATTAACATGAAACCAGTGTTGCTGTCTGCCGTGTCATGATGCATCTTATGAGCTTGTCGTGGGATTTCGAAATCCATATGTGTCCGCTGGCATTTTAGGAGAGTCTTGGAGACCTGTTAGAATGGTCATCACATCTCGCTAGGATAATAATCTCCCGAAAAAAGCGTTTAAACGACATTTCAAGCAGCGAAAACTCTGGGACGACACGGTTTACCGGCAGGGCGGGGGCTGCATCCGCCGTCACTGAGCTGAATTCAGTTTCCAAGGGCGAAAAACAGGGGAGACCAATTCCATTTTGAAGGAGGTTCTGAATTCAGTTTCCAAGGGCAAAAAACAGGGGAGATCAATTCCATTTTGAAGGAGGTCCTTTTAATCTTGATAATGTTAATTGCTTCGAAAACTAGCTAATATTGGGTGCCAACAAGTATCCCAGAATGTTCTCAGCTTAGACTTTGGTGCTGCAAGCTATTTTACACTCTTACAGTCATCAGCTCGTGGATTAAACAAACCAAACAAAAAACAAATTATTTGACAAACTCAGGCGCGAGGGCTGGCGACGTATCAGGATCCACTGGGCCGGTCTTAGAAGCCCACGTAATAATGATAATCATCTTTAGAGCTCATTGTCACGGCGAGCAGTCCCACTCCCAATGCCGCCGCCGCTCCGTTCTTCCAATCCGAGCCTTAATTAACCCCGGCGAGCTGCGACGGTGTGTTAGACTATTTGCTAGTAGTAATTATGTGTGTACAATTGTGATATGATCGGCAGGATATGGCTGATTACTTGCCATGTATAGCTAGCTCATGAATCAGGGCATATCAACCGAATTAATCAGCGATCTTTTGAAATCCTGCCTATTGGCGCAGTCAACATATATGTGCGGCTCGAGGCCAAAGGGTTATACGCTTCACCAAAATGCATCTCGTTTTCTTATAGGTCGAGGCTCTGATCCGCGAGCCAGGGAGAAGGTGATACCACCATGAGATGGAAAAGAGCATGGTTGCATGATGAAGGGCCATTCGCTGGTGACCGCCTGCCACCATGACGACGCTCCGCTCCATTCGATGGAGCTACTCCCCATCATTGTCCCGATAGCTTTTGAGGTTACTCCACGCATCTTCAATCTTTTTTTCTTCTTTTTTTGAACACGACCTTCTTCCAATCATCGACTACCCCCGTCTTCCAAGGAACCTTAAACAAGCCGTTTCTACCATTTATAGGAGAAGAAGCAGGAGCAGCAACCCACGCCGAGCCTCCTCAAGGACTCCCTGGTCGAGATCCTTTCGCGAGTGCCGTACAGGTCGCTATGCCGATTCAAGTGCGTGTCCAAGCCCTGGCTCACCCTCTGCTCCTCCTAGGATATCCGCAAGAGGTCGCCACAGACTTTGTCTAGGTTCTTCTACATAATAATCAATGGCCTCAATGTGAGCCCATTTTCGTAATTTGAATGGTAGAATGAAAGCTGGTAGAATCCAGTCTACTAAGGAAAGGGCATTGAAACAACTTTCTGTCTGGATTGATAAATATGCTTCAAGCAGGGTGAAAGAAGATCTTATCAAGTTAGTAGTTCAGGCTCTTCCGGTGTACGCCATGGGTATTTTCAAATTTCATGCTTCTCTTTGTGAGGATTTATCGCAGATTATAAGGATTTTTTGGTGGGGCGATGAGGAGGATAGGACGGTGAGGGTAGAATGGGCTTCCACGACCTGAGGTTATTTAATCAAGGTCTTCTCGCAAAACAAGCTTGGCCTTTACTGGTTAAACCGGACTCGTTATGTGCTAAGGTAATGAAGGCAAAATACTATTCTCATGGGCATCTTCTTGGTCACGGGTTTTCCTCAATCAACCTCAGTGACATGGCAAGGTATTATGCATTGTCTGGAACTCCTTGAAAACGGTGTCATTTGGAGAGTGGTTGATGGAGGTAATATCAATATTTGAAGGGACAATTTGCTTCCAAGGATTTCTGGCCTCAAATTTTTTGGCAAGAAGAACAGATCAAGACTAAAATGGGTTTCAGATTTATTCAAGAGCGAGTCTAGGGATTGGGATGAAAATAGCATTAGACATATTTTTTATCCGTATGACGCGGAAGAGATCTTGAAGTTGCGGATTCAATTATCAGGGGATGGTGATTTCATTGCTGGCATTTTGAAAAGAATGGACTATTCTCAGTGAAGAGTGTGTACAATCTAGCGTTAAAGCTTAAGGATCAGAAAGAGAATGTTGGGCAATCTAGTACTACTATTAACAGAGAAATGAGGTTGTGGCATATCATCTCGAAGGCCACATCCCACAAAAGATTATATTTTTTGGATGGCGTGAAACATCTGGTAGCCTGGCGGTTCAGGTTAATAGAGTTTTACATCATCAAGCTACCATGCGTACTTGCTCTATATGCAGGGTTGAGGATGAGAGCAATTTCCACGTCTTGTTTGAGGAAAGTTTGGAATTTGCCAGGGGAAGAGGTTTTCAATTATTCAGGTCCAGACTGGTTACTTATTTTATTAAACCGTTACAAGATCTGCTATGTTTCTGAAAAGCTACTAGTCTTCCTTTTGGTCATGTCAGCCTCCAAATGAGGTAGTCCCTAATTACAAAGGAAATGAGGTGGTGGCTGGTTTTGGTGCAAGTACTACTATTATGAGATCCAAAGAGGTGTGGCAACCGCCTCCTTCTAGCCACATCAAGATCAATGTTGATGCGAGTTTTGTGGAGACACTTAGTGCTGCGAGCATTGGGAGTGGCCAGGAGCTGTACGGGTGATATCATTGTCTCATCTTGGGACTTCATTGGGTTATGCTCTGGTGTGGATGAAGCTGAGCTTGGAGCATGCATTGCTGGGCTTTATATTGGTATTTCTGTTAACATGCCTATTATTTTGGAAACTGATTGTGCATTTGTGACTTCTTTCCTTGCAAATGAAAGTTGTGACAGATCCCCGCTCGTTGACCTCAAGAAGGAAGCGCTTGGCATCATCAGGCTTCTGGTAAACTTCAAGTTGTCAAAAATAAATAAGGGCCAATTCAGTAGCACATGAGATTGCTAAATTTAGTTTTGATAATAGATCTGATGGTTTTCTTTTTAATGATTTCTTGTCCTGCGTGGCGTCTGTTGTTATGAACGATTGTAATGACGTTTTAATTAATTAATACATGGAGAGGTGTTCTAAAGAAAAGGACCAGCTAGGCTATAAGCCACTACATAACTGAAAAAACCTGGATTTTACGACTAATTATTACATGCTAGAGATAGTTTTTCATGGCTAACTAGGGGGAGGGAAATGAAAAACCAAAAAGGTCTGTAGGAGAATTTTTTTTCTCCCTCCCTGCTTCAAGCTCCGCGCACCACGTCAGCATATGTCCCTCGGGGTCGTTTCATCACCTGCGCTTCAGGGGAGCAGGGCAGCTCCAGAGGTGTGACTGGACTGAGTGTGCTCTGTTTGGCAGTCGACTTCCTGGGGCTTCTTGGAGGGGAAACTGGGTTTGTTTCAGAACCCCCTGTCCTGCATGAGCTTCCCAAGTTCAAGTTGGACCGTAGCACCTGACTGAAAACACCTTTAGTGTTCTGGCTAGCAACAGTCACCC